GCACCTGACGAGCCACATGTGCTCCAGGAGTGGGCACTGGAGAAGCATGAAGGAGCCTGGTGAGAGCAGCACAGAACCAAAGGAAGACACTCCTCCCAGAGTGCTTTACGAGCTCCCTCTACCGTCAAAGCTGAGCAGTGCGCCAGCTGGAAAAGGAGAAATAGTTACAGGACTGCTGCAGTGCAGGCAGTATCACAGAGAGAATGGCACAGTCCACCCCTTTGGAGACTCAACTTCCATATGCAACCTTCTGTATACATTTAGACTTTCATACAACAATGAAACAACTCCTCATCTCCACCTAATGAGTTACAGCTATCTTTCTTACAAGAAGTTCTCACCCTCTCTCCAAAGTGAGGAGATACACAGTCCCAACACTCATTATTAAATACTTCTCAGATTGTCATAGTCCCATGGGTTATACTGTTACCTAAAAACGAAATTGAAACATGAACTTCCAACAACTTACATACAAAACGAAAACGGGAAGAGAGAGAAAAAGAAAAAAAATGTTTAATATGTACAAAAATGCCATGTATACATAACAAACAGAGAAAAAAATATGCAAAACTACCACAGTTCCTGTTTTTATAATGGCCACAACGCTGTTTTAGTAGTTACTAATGGTTTCCTAACTGCCTCATTTCTTCTACATTTATTAGTTGGCATTCCACTATCAGGAAGGCCTTTCTTGTCTCCTCTGTTTACTTATTTATTCATTTATTTATATTACTATTGACTTAGGTATTCTTTTTTAAAAAAAATACATTTTATTGATTTTTTACAGAGAGGAAGGGAGAGGGATAGAGAGTTAGAAACATCAATGAGAAACATCGATCAGCTGCCTCCTACACACACCCCACTGAGGATGTGCCCGTAACCAAGGCACATGCCCTTGACCAGAATCGAACCCGGGGCCTTTCAGTCCTCAGTCCGGGGCTCTATCCACTGAGCCAAACCGGTTAGGCAATTTAGGTATTCTTAATTTACTCATTGGGTTGTAACATGTTATTGTCATATTTTATTTCGATGCTCTGCAGTTGACTAATGGGAGTCCTAATAAACTTTGACACGTCTTTGACACATCTTTATCATTCTCTGCGTACTTCCCTACTTTCCAGCACAAAATGTTCTAGGAACTTCTTGAACTTCCTCAACCCCAGTGGGAGAGTCGATGATTTCTCCAAGGAGCCGTGACTCCTTCTGTGGAGAATGGCACTGAGAAATCAATATCTGGGCACTACATGGGCTAAGCCTTTTGGAGTGCCACTGCTTCTGGGCCCGCTCAGCAGACACAACTGGGACAGGTGTATGTTTGGGTGTTCTTGTGTATACACAGACATGAAAACATTTGCACATACAAACATACTTATATTTCTAGCTAGATTTATTTTTATATCTACGGCTTACCTATATATTAAAAACCATGAGTTTATACTTGCTATGAATTGAATTATATTTCCCCAAATTCATACGTTGAAGCTATACCCTCCAGAGTGTCTGTATTTGGGTTAAGAAAGTAAGGATGAATGAGTGTCCATAGAGTGGAGCCCTGACCTGACAGGATTCGTGTCCTTATAAGACGAGACACCGGAGAGCTCTCTCTTTCTCTACCAGGTGAGGACACAGTGAGCATGTGGCCATCTGCAAGCCAGGAAGATGACGCTCACCAGAAACCAAATGGGTTGGCACCTTGATCCTGGGTTTCCCAGCCTCTGCAACTGTGAGGAAATAAGTGTTTGTTGCTAAGCCACACAGTCTGTGGTATTTTGTTATGGCAGCCCTGGCTGACTAATACCATACTGACCTTTAATTCTAATGTGCAGGAATGGTATTTTGTTTGCTTGCTTGTTATTTTTGTTTGTTTTTAGTGTTTCAATAATGTACCCTTTGCCGGCAGAACTTTGCTATTTTTGGCCTGTTCCGGTTGTAAGTTCAGAGAAGAGGGCTGTAAGTTGCTGTGTGTAATGTCCTAAGCAGAAGGGCACTTAAAAAAAAAGTTTAGAATGATCAGGATCATTTATAAAAAACAAACACAGAGCTGACTCAAAAGTCACACTGTTGCTTTTCATCTGAGTGTGAAAGTTCCCTCTGTACTCCTCAGAAAAAGACCTTAACCCAGTGGTTCTCAACCTTCTGGCCCTTTAAATACAGTTCCTCATGTTGTGACCCAACCATAAAATTATTTTCGTTGCTACTTCATAACTGTAATGTTGCTACTGTTATGAATCGTAATGTAAATATCTGATATGCAGGATGGTCTTAGGCGACCCCTGTGAAAGGGTCGTTCGACCGCTAAAGGGGTCGCGACCCATAGGTTGAGAACCGCTGCCTTAACCCAATTCCTGGTAAAACCAAGTCTTGGCTTGAAGTACTCTAGGGCTCTATCCCCAGAGGTGACCTTCTCTAAATAGGTCCCTGTCAGGGGTGGATCCCAGATCACCTTCTTCTCCGTGGCCCATACAACTGTGGAAGTGACCCATCTTCTCATCAGAAATACTGAATCATGAAGCTGCAACAAAAGAAATGGTTCCATTGTGTGGTAAGGACATGGTCACATGCCTGCAAAAAATGTCTGGAGACATTCTCCACCCAGCCTTAGTCACATATGACCCAGAAGCCACAAGCTCCCAATACCCACGCTGGTATGCTCATCTGAGCTCACGACCTCAGAATTCCTAGGTTCTCCGAGCACCGATATGCCAAGAATGTGGCCGTTCTATTGCTTAGAATGGGCTACAGGAGTCCCTGGTTCAGAAGCCCAGCCTCCCAGTTTCCAGTCTACACAGTCCCCTCCTTAGCCAAGCAGTTGGCTGATAGGCTTCACAGCACTACTTTCTATTGGAGAACATTGCTGATTTCTTTGCTCTTTTCAATATTTTCCCGGGGCTTCAGGAAAAGCAAAGAGAAACCACGGTTCAAACCCTTTTAACTACAGCAAAGCACTTGCTGATGTTTTTGTGCAGGACAGAAAGCAGAAGCAGAGTCTGAGGGATGCGGAAGAACAGCTCCCAAACGTCCCTTCCACCTTGCAAACAGGGATCCACAGATTCTTTTGTGCAGGCTCTTACTCTTTCCCCTCAGAGCTTCTACAGAAGAGAAATACAATGACTACGAAGGTCAGCTCTGTAGAGCAAAAGAAGTCAGGAAGCCCTAGCTGCTGATTCCTGACCATTTCTGAACCAGTGCACAAACAACCCCTCATCTTCCAAGGAAGTAAACAAACATTTATCAAGAGCCATCCTGGAAACGCTGCAGCTACTCCTGCCTCCTCCAACCAAGTTCCAACCAAAGTGATCTTCTAAGAACACAAACTTGTCGTGAGGATGAAATGAGCTAATGTTTGTAAAGTGCTGACTGGCATTATTTGCACACTTCAGTGCTATTAAATGTCTCTGAGATAAATACACATGCTATTCCCCTTGCAGTGGTTCTCAACCTTCCTCATGCCGCGGCCCTTCAATACAGTTCCTCACGTTGTGGTGACCCCCAACCATAAAATTATTTTCGTTGCTACTTCATAACTGTAATGTTGCTACTGTTATGAATAGTAATGTAAACATCTGATATGCAGGATGTGTTTTCATTGTTACAAATGGAACATAATTAAAGCCTAGTGATTAATCACAAAAACAATATGTAATTATATATGTGTTTTCCGATGGTCTTAGGCGACCCCTGTGAAAGGGTCGTTCAACCCCCAAAGGGGTCGCGACCCACAGGTTGGGAACCGCTGCCTTAGAGGCTCTTCAGAAGAAGAAAGGGAAATTTCACTGCCTCCCTCTGCCTTCTGCTTCCTCACCGCGCTCCCTTGCTAGCCTTACTCCAGGCCTCATTTCAAGTCGGAAATTCCTTAGTCAAGCTGCCTGCTGACCTTAGCACATGCTATCCTCTCTTCCTTAAAAACTTTTCCCAGTCCCTCTTCATGTGACCAACTTCATATCTCAACTTACATGTTACTTCTGCCTTGCAGGACCTCCCAAAGAGAGCTTAGGTTCCTCCATTTTACCCTCTCATTCCCACAATTTTATCACAATTGTAAAAACAACAAAATGGTTTAGGATTTTTAATACCTGCCTTTCTTAACTAAACTGTAAATTACCCCAGGAGAGGGGCTTATAGGTGTGTCTAGTTCACTGCCTATCAAGAAACTCGGACAGGGTGACCCTTGTGGACCACGGTCGAATGAATAAAACCTTTTAAAATACTGTCTCATTTTGGTAACTGGCCCAAGTTTGCACAGCCAATCCAAGATTCGTATCAAGACATTTTGGCTTTGAAGCCCACGGTCTGATCACCGCACTTACTGTCCATTCCTGTCCCTCAAAGCTGGAACCAGAACGTAAGTACTGGGGAGGCGAGCATAGGAGCTGCAGGTCTATGCTGAGGGCCGCACGCTGCAAGGAACAGGCGCCGTGCACACAGGCCTTGGGCCCAGGGGAGGAGGCACCTATCACATGCACACTGCAGGGCCCGCCGCTGCCGCAACCCGGGGCAGGAATGCGGCCCCGCCCCGGTCCCGAGCCAGCAAAACCGCGTTCTCCCCAGGACTGACGTCAACGAAAGCGGGGCACCTCCCAGCGAGACGCAAGGGAGGCCGGGGGGCCAAGGGAAGGGACCTGGGCGGGCACGCCCCTCGCTGTTGCTCCGTCTCTGATTGGACCCGGGAATCTTCGCACTTAGGTTTCGAGGCCGGCGGAGGGAAGGGGGAGGAGCCAGAACACGCCCCTCACCCCTCTGTGGCTGCTGATTGGCCCGCGGAGTCGCCGCGTTCGGTTTTGGAAGGCTCGCTTTGGAGCTCCCCGCAAGGCTCGCCTGAGGATTGGCTGTTCCAGGGAGCGCCTTGGGCCGCGGTTGTGACCGAGGTGGCCGGCCACGGCAGGCAGGTACGTAGGTCTGCGACCCGGCTCTCGGTGGGAGCGGGCGGGAGGGCGAGCCGTGAGAACTGGGGTGCCGCCGGATCTGAACCCCAGGTACACCTAGGGCCCGTTGTGCGCAGCGCCACGTCTAAGTCGCGGGGACCGACCTGTGCTGGGGTTGTCGCCGTGTGATATCGGCCAGGATACCCCTCCCAAGCTCTTGTCCTGTTGGCGGGTGCCTCCTGGTCCTAGTGAGCAGCTTCGCGGCAGAAGCCCGGAGCTGCGCCCGCCCTTTCGGAAGGCGGCAGGGGTTGGGGTCGGCGCATTTTCGCTTGCCCCATCCCGATTTGAGGTCTGTCGGCGCCGCCCTACTTGGTGAGTAATCATGCTAATTCCCCACGGGCCATGGAGTGCTGATGGCACCGAGGCTGGCTGGGGAGACCTGAGTTTCGATCCCTCCGCCTTCCGAAACCGGTAGAAGCAGATAGCAGGCTCCGGGAGGGTTCAGAGCCTCCAGGGTCTTTCCTCTGAAGACCTTGGCACGCTCTGGTGGGAACAAAAATAACTAGATGAGCGCGAGCGCTGGGGTCAGACCTCTTGGGTTCATATCCTGCTTAGCACGTACTACCTGTGACTTAACCTTCCTGAGCTTAGCTTTCTCATCTGTAAAATGGGTGTAGTGTAACCCCTCAGAAGGGTGTCATGAGGATTAAAGAGATTACCCTTCCAACAGTGCTGGTTTGGACTTGTCTTGGAGCAAGGTGCCTCACCAGCAGCGATGATTACAAGTCCGCAGATTACTCCATTCTCCCTTCACCCTCTTCTCCCAAGAGTGAAAGCCCCTTTGAGGGAGTTTCATGATAGTGGTGATGACGAAAGTGGGTGGTTAAAAAGCCCTTTCCTTTATACCATTCATTCATAACGTACTGGGATGGGTACTTTCAGCATACTTTATCTCCCTTAGCCCCTTAAGGGTTATTTACTCTCACCATTTTGACAATGAACTAACTAAAGCAGGGGAAACCTGAGGCTTGCCAGGGTCACCCAGATATCAGTGGCTCAGCCAGAATTCAGGTTCTTGAACTCTTGAAAAGTTATTCCTAGATCTAGTAGGAGTTTTTTCCAGGCCATATCTGAGACTTGGTCTGGGGAAGGGTCCAGTTCCTTTCTCAAACCTTTTGGGATGGAGATTTGGAGACCAACGTGTGTCCATCTCTCTCAGGCATGCCTCCCTGAGACTAGGCCCTTCTGTGTGGGGGGCCCACACAGCCGTTTGGACTGGGCCTCCCACTTGAGGAGCCACAGATTTTGGCTGCTGTCCAGTGGTATGTCTGTCCAAAGAAGCAGGCCAGGGCCACAGTGTTGACTTGGGCCTTGGGCCAGAGCCTCTAGTTCTTTTTCTAAGAGACCCTTGGCCTCTGATTGCAGATTATTACCACCAATAGGGTTATCTGGAGGGGGGAGTAGGTGGGGAGCCAGTTGCTGCCTAATTCACACAACTGTGTTCTGCCTCTCATGGTTATTTTCCACGACCCTGAGACCATGATAAGCATAGCTAGGTGTCTAAACTGAGCTTCATACATTACAAAGACTGCTCACTTGTGTATCACATTTATAAATTGCAAATCATTACATGGTGAGTCGCTTTTTAAATATATTTCTTCGTTAGATCTCTATAATTCCTTTATTGCCTGTTTCAAAACAAATTGAACTCTGTCATGTTCAACATTTGGTATTTACTTGGGGGTTCATTTTTAACCTAGTTTGTGTCAAACTGAAGTATTTTGCAATTAGTCTTTACTCATTTGCTCACAGATCCATGCTTATCTTTTTTATGTCAACTCTGAAAGATTCATTTGTAATTTTTTAATAGCTCTGTGGTTTCATTTTCCAGATTAAAAAGTACCATTGTTCAAATATATACTGACTTTCCCGGATGCAGGTCTTGTCCAGGAAATGAGGGGGGAAAGTAACTATTGGACACATTGAATGAGACAGGAAGTTTCTTCTGATAACAAAAGTGCTGTGATTCAGTTTTCCCCAAGTTTACGGTCTAATCCTACTTGATATCCATCAATTTTTATCCTCAGCCTCACTCTGCTGTCTGAATCTCAGGGTGAGAGGCAGAGCCAAAAGTGAGGGTCCTCAAAATCTGGACGTCCCCCCGCCCCCATCCCGCCCTTCACAGGTTCATAGAAGGTATGGTGAGGCTAGAGGCCAGGCTCTCCCAGATGGTTTCTCATTGGTGCATTTGTAACTCACTGTAACTGGGCAGCTGGAGGGAGGGCCTTGGAGCCCTGGCAGAGGTGGCTGGGACTATCTGGGAAGTCAGGCTCCGAGCCATTTCCTCCCTGAGGCAGCTGCTGCTATTTGATCCTGTTGCCAGTCTCTCAAGAAGAGGGTGAGATTGTCTGAGTTTGTGAGGGGACATGCCCCAGAAGTCTGCCCCAGGCTTGGCTATAGCCAGCCTAGGTCATTAGAGTGCTTTAGAGCAGCGAGTTCTGTCTTCTACCAGACCCTAACCCAGGGGTGGGCAAACTTTTTGACTCGAGGGCCACAATGGGTTCTTAAACTGGACCGGAGGGCCGGAACAAAAGCATGGATGGAGTGTTTGTGTGAACTAATATAAATTCAAAGTAAACATCATTACATAAAAGGGTACGGTCTTTTTTTTTTAGTTTTATTCATTTCAAAAGGGCCGGATCTGGCCCGCGGGCCGTAGTTTGCCCACGGCTGCCCTAACCCCACAGCCCACAGCAGCAAAACAGTGTCTGACCTCCAGGAAAGATTGAGAAGAAGGGGAGCTACTGGTTGGGGAGTCTTCTGATACCTAATTAGCCAGACCTGTCCACACATGTTGCTCATAGGCCCTGGCAGGCAAGCAAACCATCTCTTCTTTGTTCAGATCTAGACTCTCAACACTGGCACAGGCCTTCTGAGACCATCAGCATCAACCCATTCTCACAGATGAAAGAGGGAAGCAGGCCCACAGAATCCCTGAGGCCTCTCAGCCACTGAGTGGCAGAACTGGGGCTCAGACCAGTCCTCTGGGCTGGGTTATAGTTCCAGATTTCTTCTGTGGAAGCTGGGGATCTTCCTCTTCAGAGTGCCACGAGTTCAAAGCTGAGGCAGCCTGTCACCCAGGGAACGGCCCTGATGTTATTGAAAAGATCAAAATAAATTCCACACCCCACCCCTGCCTCCAACGTGGGATATTCAGTGTTCTTTCCCTGCTACTGGTGGGGTTTCCCTTTTGTGAATTAGCACTCCTCACAGACTAATGGGAAGAAATGTGCTTTGAGCTGCTTGGCTGTGAAGACACCTCTGTTGCTTAAAAGCTTGGACTGCAGTCAGACTAGGCTCTGGCCTTGGCTGAGTCCCTGCTTTATATCTGTGCCTCAGCTTCCCTTTGCTTCTCTGTGAACTGGGGTGAGGCTAACAGTGCCTGGTCCCTAGAATTGTTTTAAGGATGAAATGATATTATGCGTATTGCCTGATACAGAATAAATGCTCCATAGTTAGCTTGACTTCTCTTTACCAGCCTGTGTTACTTGGTGACTGTTTCCTGATCACAGTATACAGTATTTATATCATCTATCTCTGGGAGTTTAATTCCCACATATATTTACTGGATTCCCATAATAGTGCTTAAGCAGAGGCAGGTTTTAAGATTATTTTCCAGAAAACAAGTACAATTTTTATGAATTTATTTGAAAGTCTTTTGCACGTTTATTTTCATTATTAAATCTTTTTTAAAAATATTTTTTATTGATTTCAGAAAGGGAGAGCGAGATAAAGACATCGATGATGAGAGAGAATCATTGATTGGCTGCCTCCTGCAAGCCCCCCACGGGGGATCAAGCCCGCAACCCGGGCATGTGCCCTTGACTGGAATTGAACCTGGGACCCTTCAGTCCACTTAGCCAAACCAGCTAGGGCTCATTATTAAATCTTTTGAAAAAAGAGAGTGGGGACTGGCTGGTGTGGTTCAGTGGTTGAGTGTTGACCTATGAATCAGGAGGTCATGGTTTGATTCCTTGTCAGGGCATATGCCCTGGATAGCGAGCTTGATCCCCAGCATGGGGTTTGTAGGAGGCAACTGATGATGTTTCTATCTCTCTCTCCCTCTCCCCTCCTCTCTGAAATTTATTTTTTTTTTAAATATATTTTATTGATTTTTTTAAAGAGAGGAAGGGAGAGGGATAGAGAGTTAGAAACTGGAATCGAACCAGTGGATAGAGCGTCGGCCTGCGGACTGAAGGGTCCCGAGTTTGATTCCAGTCAAGGGCATGTACCTTGGTTGCAGGCACATCCCCAGTAAGGGGTGTGCAGGAGGTAGCTGATCGATGCTTCTCTCTCATCGATGTTTCTAGCTCTCTATCCCTCTCCCTTCCTTTCTTTAAAAAATCAATAAAATATATTTAAAAAAAAAAAATATATATATATATATATATATATATATATATATTTTAAAAGAGTAGGTTCTTATGATAGAAGGCCTAGAAACTAGGACAGTGGAGTGTAAAAATTACTGGATTCAGGAGGTGGCTATTGAGGTGAGGATGAGGGAAGGCCAGGGTAAGGAAGGGACAGTCATTATCTGGGAAGTCTGAATGGGATGAAGACATGGCTCAAATTCTCTGGAGAACAAAAGGCAGATGAGAGTAAGGATTATTTTTGCAAGTGAGCTGAGGATAGGAAACCAGTAGTGCTTTTATTTATGATTCGATTGTTTTCTTTTTCTTTTCTTTTTTTTTACAGTGAGCATGTACATTTTATCTACCTCCTTTTCCAGCTGGTTGCTGGTTGACAGCTATGTCTGTAGCTAGCTGTGGAATGAGGTCTGACTTAGTAACCAGGCCTTCCCCATTGGGCCCAGGGCTGTGAGGGGCAGAGGGAACAAGGCAGGCTCTTAGCTGGCTCAGGCTAGACTGCTTGGAGGAAAGGACTCTTACCACATCACTCTCCTGACCCAACACAAAAGTCAAGGAAGCCAAAAAGAGGGGCATTTGCATTTATTTAGCTCTTATTGGGTACCTGGTACCATACTAGACTCATTTACACCAATCCTGAGAAGTGGTTTTGGCTCCATTTGACAGTTAAGCAAACAGGCTCAGAGAAGTTGATTAACTTGCATAAGGTCACAGCTAAGCAAGTGGCAGAGTTGGGATTCAAACCCAGTTCTGCACAATGCCAAAGTCTTTGGTCTTCCTTGTCTCTTGTTTTCCAATGCCATGGATTTTTCAGGTTGTACCAGAAACAAGGATAAGGTGGGTGAGCTTCTTATGCCTTTATTTATTCAATGTGAACTATCTAGAACTGAGGAAGGTGATTTTTCATTTCCTGGATATGGTGGGAGGACATTGACATGAGTGTAACTTTTATCGATTTTCTTGTAAGTTTCAGCCTCTGCCTTGACAGAGTATTCGACCCTGTAATGTCTTCTCCTGCCCCTTTCTCTCAGTGGTCCTTTGGATAGTAGATCTGATTGGTCTATTTCATTCTGTTTGCTAAATTATATAGGGTGGGGCAAAAGTAGGTTTACAGTTGTGAGTATGAGAAACAGAGTTTATCCTTGTATTATTAATTATTGTATTATTTTCCATATGAACAGCTGTAAGCCTACCTTTGCCTCACCCTGTATGGACTTGGTTCATCCCGAGAGTCTTGAAGATAGGAGGTGGGATAACTCTTGTCAATTTTATGGATGGAAAAGCAGAATAGAACATTGAGCACTGTTCTTAATGCTTTGTGTGCCTTCATTCGGTCCTCACAGCAACCTAAGAAGTAGGTATTAGTTAGCACAGATGATACATTTACACAGGAAGGAGCTGTGAGTGGAGGTCACCAGCCAGTAAGTGGTGGAGGCAGCCAGAAGTGGGAATCCAACCCAGGCAACCCAGCTCCACAGCCCCTCTATTTCTGTACTGTAGAGCCTGGGCCTCACCATCAGAAATCTGCATTCTCTTTCTCAGTTTCCTCGTCTGTGAAGTGAGGGGTGAAAGTACCTACCTCATGGGGCTGCTGTGTTCACATGTCAGTGACGCCAGGTGACTATGGCTCTCACAGTGGTGTCTCACACACTGACTCACCACACTTCAGCTGCTGCTGCTGCTGGTGTTATTAGGGCCTGGGTATCCTGGGGTCTACCTGGACTTTAGAGCCAGACAGACCTGGTTCTCCTGGCTCTGCACCTACATGGGGCTTTGTGACTGTGGGGAAGTCATTTAACCTCTGAGTCACACTCCTTCATCTGTAAAGTGGGGATAAACAACTCTTACTTCAGAGGTGTCTCTGTCTCTTAAATTTCCACATGTCAGACACATAGCACTTTATAATAAAGTTTGGCTGTCATTATTAACAGTATTTGCCCTGGGAAATCAAAGTGATTTTAAGACTTACCTTACCTTGGCTCCTGAAGAACAGAAACACCGGAAGTCCTTGCATTAGTCAGGAGCCCCAGGTTTGGGAAGGGCCTGCTGAGCTGTTGACCTCCATGCTTTCCTTCCTCAGAGCACCCAGGATGGGCACCCCAGCCTCTGTGGTGAGCGAGCCGCTCCCTTGGCAGGCCCCCACTGAGGCCCGGGGCCGCAAGCAGGCCTCGGCCAACATCTTCCAGGATGCGGAGCTGCTGCAGATCCAGAGTCTGTTTCAGCGCAGCGGGGACCAGCTGGCGGAGGAACGGGCACAGATCATCTGGGAGTGTGCAGGGGACCACCGTGTGGCGGAGGCCTTGAGGAGGCTGCGCAGAAAGAGGCCTCCGAGGCAGAAATCCCTGGGCCACTCGCTACATCACTGCAGCCGGCTCAGGTAGGTTCCTGGGAGTGAGGGCTGAGGGAGGGAGAACACTAATGATGCTCGTTCACCATTTCCTGGCTGTGAGGCCTGGAGCTACTGACCCAGCCTCATGCAAAGTGCCTACCACTGGGGCTGTGGTAAGGTCTACACAGTGCCTACCACATGGTTGGCACTTAAAAGGTTGCTGTTACTATTGCAGTCATATATGACCATGTGAATTCCCATGGGAAGGGGTGCCAGGATCCTATCAGTGCCACCTTATTTCACAGTGATTGTTAACCATATAGGAGGGACTAGTGTTTGGAAGGGGGAAAAAATACAATTTATCTATTAAAGAACAGGTAACATTCAAAAGTCAGCCTGATGAATATCTTGGCTCTGGAATTAGAGAATATAGCATAGGAAAGTACTCTAGAGGCAACAAAGGTTAACAGTTGTTGAGAAACTTTATCCCAAACTTTCCCTAGTCATCCAGCTCTTTGCTTAGATCACTGCCAGCCCAGGAACAGGGGTCCTCACCTTCTCCCCACCACCACCACCACCTCCCCCCACGCCCCCGCCCCGATCGAGCTGAACCACATGGCCTAACCAACTGCTATGGGCACACACTGGGCTCCATTCCTCCACCATCTTCTGTGGAGCCCACAGTCAGAACATTAGACCTGAACAGGCCTTCTGAGATCATCAGGTCCATATCAATTCCAACTGATTAGTAATCGCTACTTAATACACCTTAGTAAGGATACTTGGTTCCTCCAATCTCACATGACTGATTAACAGTATCTGTCTTGAGTACAGGATGAGGAAGTTGGAGAAACGTTGAATGCTGCACACCCTGATCTAGTCCTACTCTCTATAGAAATCTGAAAGTTTTGCCTCGTCATGTAGCTCTCAGCAGGCAGAGACGAGACCAGAGCCCTGGTCTCATTTTGTCCCAATGTGTTTTATTAGTTCACATGACCAAAATCTCTTTAGTCCTCATTCTGTCCTTCCTATTGATGTTGGCCTATCCCACACTTGTTCCCTGCAGAATCCCAGAGCCCCGCGACCCACTGGCTGACCCACAGAGCAGTGCCACAGAGATGGCTTCCAGCGATCAGTATCTGAACACTAGGAGGACAAGTGCCAGGATCCGCCGGAATTGGAGGAAGTCAGGCCCCACAAGCTACCTCCATCAGATCAGACACTGATCCAGGGAAGGGGCTGGGAATGGCACTATCTTCCCCAGGAATCATAGGGACTTTGGCCCAAGGGCCCGGGAAGGTGGAGGAGGAAGAGACTGGAGGCAGACAGCCCCACGTGCTGCTGCTGTTCCATTCAGAAGAGGATGGAGATATCCACTGAGCTCTAAGTGTGGGACCCACTCCTCACCAGGAGCAGCAACAGTGACCGTTCTTGCCTTGACCCTTCCCCACCTAACACTACACTTGGGCTGCATGACATTCCCCTGGGAGTTAAGCAACAGGCACTCAGACCAAGCATCTCACCACTCCTGCTACTAACCCTCCTGTATTATGACCCATGGTCCAGCAGCCTGTCCTATACCCCTGTCCCTGTCAGGCCACACAAGTAAACTGTGGTTTAAGTGGCAAAATAAAAACATTTGCACCAAGAACTGTGTGTGTCTTGATACTCCGGAGCTGGAGGGTGAGGGGTTGGGCTCATTGCAGGGAAGGTTGTGTGTTCCCAGGAAGAAGAAAATAGGGCTGGCCTCCTTTGCTTTCTCACCACCATCCGTAGAGCCCCTGTGCCAAGCTTCCTTTTCCAGAGGCTGTCAGATGGGGAGATGGAAGCAGCTCTGTGGGCAGTCCTGAGCCACAGGAGAGGACAGGGTTTTTGGCCCCTGGCCAGCTCTAGAGAGAAAGCTATTACAGTCAGCTCTACAGAGTGGGCAGTGAGCCTGCAGTCACAGTAATGGGTGCCAGTTCCTCAGCTGGCTTCTTCAACCCCATGGGCCAACCATCCTGAGATGGGTCAACAGCTGAACCAATCATTCTTGAGCTCCTCCATTTTCAAGGTTCGCATAGCCTGAAAACCCTTAAGGTGATCCTCAGAAGAAGTATGCCACGTCATTCCCATTCAGCTCCTCACCCACCCATCCTATCTGTGGTTCTCAACTTGTGGGTCGCGACCCCTTTGGCGGTCGAACGACCCTTTCACAGGGGTCGCCTAAGACCATCCTGCATATCAGATATTTACATTATGATTCATAACAGTGGCAACATTACAGTTATGAAGTAGCAACGAAAATAATTTTATGGTTGGGTCACAACATGAGGAACTGTATTTAAAGGGCCAGAAGGTTGAGAACCACTGTGCTAGATTATCCATCACTTGGAAGAAGACAGGGCTCAAAGTGCTCCAAGCACGTGCAGAGCAGGGCTACCCTCTTGCAGCCAAGAAGAGAAGCCGGTCCATATTCCTTCCAAACCTTTGTGACTAGATGAGCTGGGAACTTTTTAATTTGCAGAAGGAGTCAGTGCAAATACTGTACCATCCCTCATAGGGGAATATCCCATAACAAAACATTAATATTTCTGCAACGAATATTCACACTTAGGGATTCATCATGGTTACAAATAGCTTCCATGTAGATTCAGGTCAGTTTTGGTGTCAAATTTAAGTTATGAAAAATTTTTAGTTTTCAGAGCACTGAGACTGGAAATGAGGGTCTGGATTTCCCCCACTGGAGGGAAATAGACTCAGGAGCCATGTCTTAGCAACTCACGGAAACTCGGGGTTCTCTGTACTTAAAATTTCATTCTACATTGTCTTCCTTCCACCAAAGAAAACTAGACAAAAAAGGTCAGAATTGGACTTGTTATTCATACATTTGCATTGATTTAAATACATTACATACAATTCTACAGTGCATTAGAACAGTAAGAGGCAGGAGGACTACCGCCCAGCCTCTACTCCCTGACACCGGGGGACAGGGCCTATGGCTGGCAGAGGGCTGGGCCATTCCATGAGTGCCACCCAGAAGCCTGCCCTGGCACTCTGGACCCCTGGCTCTCGCAAAGTCCACATTCAAGGCAACCTGAGTACAGGTTTCAAAGAGAGCAGAGAGGCCAGGAAAGGATGCCCCTCCCACTCTCTCACCTGCCAGGACTGGGACCAGGCCCCTCTTACATTAGACCCAGTTTCCTTCCCACAGAGCTGGTCTGGATGAGGGCAATGTGCAGATCTGCTTGGTTGGGGAGAGCAAGTAGGTTCCTCATTAGAATCTTCAGGCTCTCTTGATGCCCACCTTTACCACACATTTATACAAAGATGTCTGTGGAGAGCTAAACACACCTGGGCCCCCTTCCAGCTTCTGGGAGCCCTACTACTCCTGCAGTCTGAGGGCAGACATTCTCAAAAACATGGTCCCCAAGGCTAGTGTCCAGGTTGGCTGACTGGGATTGTGAAGGGAGCTGTGCCTTTGTCCATGGGGCATGCACACCCAGCTCCCAGAGACTCTTCCCGTCAGCTGGATGGAAGCCCAAGATAAGCTGGCTCCAGGGGCTGGAATGGAAGGGCAGCCTAGCCCAGCTTATGAGAGAGTTGCACATCTCCCCTCTGTCTCCTGGATGGCAGGAGATGGGCAAGCAAAGGGCACAAGACCTAGTCCTCGCTCCCTTTCTTTGGTTGTTTTTCAAACCTTCAAGATAGTTTATTTCACAGCTGATTGACCAATCGCAGGGTTCCAGAAACTTGGGAGTCCAGTAGTATATGGCTGCTCCTGAGCTACAGATGGCACCCTCTTTTCTCCCTTGTGGGGGGCCACTCTTTGCTTTGGTGTAGAAAGGGCTTGGGCACCTGGCAAGGGGATAGCTGAGGGGAGAGACATGGAAGCAGGAAGCGCACTGAGCTGGACTGGCACTGGGGAACAGTTTGAAGGCCTCTCTCCTTTGGGCCCGCTTTTCTTAAGAAGCCATGGAAAAATTGGCCTGGAACAAAGTGAGGGAGCAAAGCGCAGCTACCAATTAGCAGAACACAAGGCCTGTTACCTCAACCAAGCAGCAGCGGTAGCATAAAGAGAACCTGATATCCCGTCCTCTTAAGAGCTGAGACCCACTCCTGAATCCAAACTGAACCTCTTAGTCAGAATTGAGAAAAGAAACGTCTAAAATAATGGGAACAAATGAGAGGACTGGGAGTTTATCACCTATGGCTAGGGCCAAGGACTCAGGAAGCAAGACGGGGATAAGTTTGCCCATAGACCAATTACAGTTCCCAGCATACACTCAGGCTACATGGATCACTTGTACATGCCGGGGAGTCCACGTCCTCCCTCCTGCCTTTACCTGAGTGATAGGCAGGTTGCAGGCCTGCACTTGAGAGGCTGGATCCCTAGCAGAGCAGAGAGCAGAGCTGATCTATAGGATTATATACAGAGCTGCTAGGAGGTCTAGAGCAAAAGTACCCCCGCCATGCAAATTGCATTTGGAGGCTTTTAGTCAGCCTACTGCACTGGTGGGAGGAGAAAGAGAAGACTTGGCAAAATCTCAAAGGAAAGGTACCGCTTCTGTCTGCCCCAGGAATGCGAGTAACCCAGCTGCCTTGGTCCATGAGAGTGAGGCATCTGAATGTCTGGGTCCATGCAAATCTAGGTCTGGATTCAAGGTTTCTGAATGAATCTGGGATTCTGCCTGGGTTTTGCTAATAATTTAAATTTTTGTTATTTGTTTGTTTCTGATGCAGAATATAATGAGGAATTGCAACAGCGCCCAGGTCTCACCAGGAAAGGGAATTTCCCAGCCTGCCCTCAGGAGGTGCTGGAAGGCAGATGCTCCTTCCTGGGCATCTGGCTCCTTCCATGGAGCTCCAGCCTTCCTCAGCACTCAGGGGAGCCCACCAGCACTCGCTGTTGCTCTGTTTGTGCTTCTCCCTGTGCTTGGGAAAGCCCTGAGGGGGATGGCGAGCAGAGAGGGAGGGCTCTCACGGGCACTGCTTTCTACTGGCTTCTCAGGCTTTTCCTGCAACCCGCTCCCCAAGTTTCCTCCTAGCCCAAGTCTCAGACAACGTACTCTTGTCTGCCTCTTGGGCTACCACCACGAAAAGAAGGGTTTCCGACTCTGAAAGCTCTGTGTGTAGGATTCACTAGCAGACCGCTGGTGGGAACGAGCTGTCTCAACAATCACAGGTGGCATCTGGACCAGGTGCAGGGGACTCTTGTTGTCTTTCAAGGCCTGAGTCAGATTTAGGATCTGCAGTGGGAAAATGAGATAAATTAAAGAAAGGCATAGGCATCCAGGCGTACCCCTAAAGGGAGACTGGCAGACAGAATGCTCCTATAAATCAATAAAAAAATAAATAAATAAACAACATGCTAATGGAAAACTGTACAAATAATCTATTTATAAGAGTAGGACTGTAAGTGGGCAATATATAGAAAATGGAAAGTTCTCTAGTCATTTTAAAAATGAAGATTACAAAAAATATCTCCTATATTTTGCCCTTCCAGTTGAAAAAGATACAGAAAAAGAAGGTGACTCAGAGTTGGGGAGGGTTCAGACACATGTCTGTAGGGCTGGATGGTGGGACAGCCTTTCAAAAAGGCCAGTGGACAATAGAAATTTAAACGTAAACAGGCCCTCTGACTCAGCACTTCCATTTTTAGGACTCAGAAAACAATTGTGGACATGCACAAAACAGTTTAAACCAATACAGTGCAGTATTGTTTATAAAGTGAAAATTATATAAATGCCCAAGACTATGGGATCAGTTAATAATTTAAGGGATAAGAAACAAACAATTTCCTGACCGGTGTAGCTCAGTGGTTGAGTGTCGACCTATGAACCAGGTTACAGTTTGATTCCTGGTCAGGACATATGCTTGGGTTGCAGTCTTGGTCCCCAGTGTGGGGCGTGCAGGAGGCAGCCGATCCATGATTTTTTCTCATCATTGATGTTTATATCTCTCCTCTCCCTTTCTCTCTGAAATCAATAAAAATCTATTAAAAAAATAATGCCTTGGGGATTCTTAGCTCTCTTTGAAGGTGAAGTGGAAAGAGAAGAAATAATGATAACAGAAATTATAACCAGAGCCAATATCTGAGTGCTCACCATGTGCCAGGCATAGTTTTTACTAAATATTTAATATGCATTATCTTGTGTAATCCTCTAGCCAACTCTGCAAAGTATTATTCCTGTTCATTTTATAAACAAGGAAGTAGAGGCTCTTGTCCAAAGCCATGTAGCGGTAAAACAGACTAACTCTAGACCTAGCTCTTAATCACCATAGTATATGGTCTGCCTTGAGCAACTACTGGTGGACCAGGATCACTGGGTAAATTTACCAATGAACTATCCAGCAAGTAGCACAGAAGTAAGCACACAATAAGCACATCACTAACCACCAGGTACCCTGGAAGAGGTGGGAGACTGGGGAGGGCTACCTTTCTCTCATGTGTAAATGCAGAGTCACAAATATGTATGACAGACTGAAAAAAGTATAAAATACAATCTTTACATATTTACTCAACATGAACATATAACCCTCCCAGAGAGATCACAGGGTTGACACCAGATGTCCCAGGCTCACCTGTCCCCGCATGACAGCAATCTGCTTATGGAACTGGCCCCTGTCGAAACCAGGATCTTTCTGCAAAAGAAGGGCAGAAGGAGGTGG